TTTCTGGAAACAGACTTCTCACAGATGCACACTCACGCACACACACAAACGCGCGGACGTACCCGCACACGCACACACATAGCCGTCTGTGTATGCGTATACGTTTTAGCTATGTGCATCATCTCTTTATAGTACTTTCTATTGTTAGCCAAAAAAAATGCAACTTTTGTATATGTTTCTAATTCCTAACGGAATAATCTCCAATACGTATTTCGCATCTTCTCATTTCAAGCAAGGCAATAGAGCCAGTATGACGCAAGGGGTTACTGAGTGTTACTGAATATGAAAAGCAACAACAACAACAACTATTATTAAGGAGGGAGGACAGCAAAAGAACAGGAATTAAGAAGACAGAAAATTAACGATTGACATTGCGTTTACATTTCTGAAGAGCAAAGTTTACTGGTAAGCAAGAAGCAGGAATAGAGTTTCACAGACGAATAAGTGTGATAGAAGAAACTGTTAGCATAGAACTTGCGGTAAGATATAGCCATTTCAACTGTTAAATGACGAAACCTCGTTGACAGACTAGTACGCTCTTTAATAATTTCACCCCAAGCAAGACAATAATGCCACTAATACGTAATGGATTACTGAATGTTAGAGTATAGGAGAAAAAACACTATTACAGAGAGAGAACAATAAAAGAACAGGATATAAGAAGACGTAAGACAACGATTGACATTGCATTTACCATTTGAAGATAAAATTAGACTGGGAAGCAAGAAGGTGGAAGAGAGTTTCAAAATGAAGAAGAAATTTTTAGCATAGAACTCGTGGTTAAATTTAGGCATTTCAACTGTAAAATGATGAGACCTTGTCGGCAAACTAGTACTGCGCTTAATTTCATAATTTCGGAAATTTCATATGAACAATTACCATTATGTTACAAAATATAAAAGTATATAAGTTTAAAAGAAGATGAAACATGATTTCATGCATTTTGTACTTATTTGCAATTAACATTTATATTAGCTTAAGTTAAAATATCATTTGATACACAATAAAAAAATACTATAATATGGAGAAGTGAGGAATTCATATCTTTACAAGCGGTATTTATCTCTAAGTGAATCTAACAAACCCAATTGGAATTCGAACTCGGATAGATTACATTACCTTAGAGTTATGCACCTTGCAAGTATATATTTGTACTAACAGGAAAACACGACCTATTTAGAGAAAATGTTAAAATAAGCACTAAATTTTACTGGGGCAATCCGCATGCATACGGATAAAAATGACTTGAGTATCTAAAAAATAATAGAAAGGGACAAGAGTCAAGCATAATTATTCACCCCAGATTTATTAAAACTCTATAAGGACACTGTCCTAAGGGTACCGGACACCCCGATAGAATTTAATATCGGTGGGTAAAATCTCAACAATATAAGATAAGCAGACAAAACTGTGTTGATGGCCATTTTGGAAACAAAAATAACACACCATTCAGACAGAGTGAAGGACAGATGGGAATGAAAAAACAATAAAATCGGAAAAAAATCGAGATATCATAATGGTAATTGTTCAGATGAAATTTCCGTTATGGTATCTAGACATTATGAAATTAAGCGCAGTACAAGATTGCCGACAAGGTCTCATCATTTTACAGTTGAAACGATTAAAGTTCTATGCTAAAAATTTCTTCTTGATTTTGAAACTCTCTTCCAGCTTCTTGCTTCCCAGTCAAATAATAAGAGTCTAATTCTCAGTTTATTTTCTAAATTTCTAACAATAATTACAGGAAGAACGGATTTATTTATTTAATTATTGTTTTTTTAGTTATATATTGAGAAATCGGAAAGTCGATTTCTGATTACAGCCGAGTTCGTTTACATTCGCTTACATGCAAATTCCTCTGGGAAAGTCATGGATTCATCTCTTTTCTCGACCTGTAGCCTTGTTTGGCAACCACTCTACTGTAGAAAGAAACGACATTCTACGGCGAGAAAAAAACTCCTGAGTCATTGATGAATCGAAAGATATATAATCGTCAAGTATTTAAGTACATATTCTTCTATATTTGTATTCCCCTCTTGGAAAATGAAAAACAAAAACAGTCATTCGTGACATAAGCTAATAATCTTGTTCATATTTTCATCTTTCTTTTTACTTATCAAATTATATCTATTCCCATCTTTTTATATTTAATTAGCATCGATTTTAAAATTTTAAATTAGATTTAATTAGAAAAGAAAATATAAGTAAGTAAGAAAATAAACGACACAGAAATAAAGGAAAAATAAAAAGTAAAGATAAAGATTTAAATTGGTCAGTTCGTAGAGAGAGAAAAATGGAAAGAGATAAGGAAAGAGAGAGGGAGAGATAAAGAGAATGAAAAACAATGAAAAAAATACGCGATGAAGGAAAAGAGAGAACATTTTTCCCCTTGGGAAAGTCATGCATTCATCTCTTTTTTTTTCGACCTATAGCCTTGGTTGGCAACCACTCTACTGTAGAAACAAACGGCATTCTAATTTGCGAGAAAAATCTTCCGAGCCATTGATGAATCGAAATATATATAATCGCTAAGTGTTTAAGTACATATTCTTCTATATTTGTATTCCCCTCTAAGATATCATTCTAATCATGAATATCCTATTTCTTTTTCAAGATGATGTAACTACACTTAAAAAAAATTCCTAAAATGTAGTATTCCTTAAGATTCTTTTCTTTATTTTAAAGTACAGTCTTAAGTAAGTAAGACTCCTTCAACTTCCTTTAATAATTTCACGTGAAATTCGAAAAATCTGTCATTCATTAATGTACAATTCGACCCACAATCTGAACACGATACATTTTCAATATTCTCTTGGATACTATCATAAAATCAATTTCTTTTGTCTAATTTTATACGTCGACCTAAAATCAAAGATAAATCACAATCCTATATCATTATAGAAACAGTCCCACTTATTAGGTATTGTGACATGTCGGGGCTTCCTTACTTTACTCGATTCAGCAGTAGCAGCGACGGAAGTAATCAGCAATCTACAACCTGAAGTCCCAGAAATCATAAAAACTCTGACCAAGCCCTATTTGTTCTTTTTTTTTCAATTTTCCATTTCAGCGGCCTCTACCTTTAAGGTCATCTCCCTCTTTTCTACTCATTGTTTTCAGCGGTTGCAACCTTCAATGCCCAGCTCGAAGGATTATTCTCAACTCTTGATGCAGAAGACATGAGGCCCGTCCTGGCAGCTTGTCTTCAGATTTCTCGTTCCTCGTGGGAACAGCAGAAGAAATCTCCCCTCGAGACACCTACCCAAAGGAAAAAACTCCATACAACCCTTCTGCAGAAAAACACCTACCAATACTAACTGTTTCACCTCGTTTCACTCCAGGAAAAACTTTGTTAACTGGGAAACTCAACTAGTTATTCCCGTAAATTATCTCTATTTTGCACTTATTCTTTCAATCAAAATTAAAAGCTTTTAAACAAATATTTTGAGGCTTGGATTTTGTTCATTCCACTCTCAGTGCCGAACAGACACACACACACCGGAAAAAAATACTATAGTATGTCTACACATTTACTTACTATTTTTTATCTATTCTTTGATTAATATACACTTCGAACTACAATGCAAACAATTTACATTTCTGCTAACATATATACACCTCGATACACAAATTAGATTTGAACAAACTTTTTCTATACTTTGATCCACAATCCTAAACAAGTAACATTTCGTCTTTCCTATTTGTCACTTGTACCGAAAATCAAAATAACTCAGATTTCGACTGATGATTCGATATATTAAACATTAAATTCAACGATTTATAGTTCCTTTGAATTATCTACATTTGTAGGCTTACGGTCATATCACGTTGTAACACCCGTTCTCTTACAATCAGTGACATTAAGCAACGTCAAACCTGTTCAGTATCTAGATGGGTAACTTTTGAAGAATAGCATATGCAGTATCTTAGAGGTATGGGTGTTGTAATATATGATGGCTGGCGACTGGAAATTGTAAATCGCAGAGCCGTGTTGCAATTGCAATCGTGTTCGTTATATTCACTTACGCACAAATCTCCTTAGGGAAGTTATGGATAGACTTCTTCCCCAAAGTACGGGTTAAATAGTAGGACTTGTCTGAGTAAATCATTATTATGTTCAAAAGAGTGTTACAAACGCAAAATATTGTCTTGCTTTAAATAACCTGTAAAAGGTTGTTAAGCCGTAAAAAATCAAATCAAACTAAACTTCGATATGAAGAAAACAGATTTCCATTAAATATTTCACTTGATCTTGGGTCTTGTTTTTGGGGAACAGTGGAGTAAAACAGAACTATATTTTGACTTTCATATGGAACTACTTAGTTTTCCACCATTTTGTGATAAGTTTCGTGATAAAATTAAATTGATGACATAGACTTACTACTAGATTGGACAAATATTTGAAATCGAAGAATTTTGTTAATCTTAAACTTTGGCAAAAATAAACGTACAATATCCGTTTATTTCAATCTTTCCAGTTTTAGATTTACATGAATAAATGTTTGAAAATTACAGCATCGTTCGCTATACCATTAAGTTCTTCTTCGATCAGTAAATCCTATCAGGGTTTTGGGCAAAAATATTTAACCGCATATATATGTAGGGTTTGGCATTTGTTAGACTATCAAGGGTCTTTCATAATTCCCCCCCTAGAAATGTTCACGCTTCGTTTGTTCTTGTAATATTAGACATTTCATCTCAATGGGAAGAAAACGTAGAATGAAGAAGGGTTTGAAATCCCTTGTGCTGGGTAATCCGTATCTTGGATGAATCTTGAAATGAAAGAAGCTATGGATTGCGACTCTGGATAAAGTAGCCGTCGTTGAAATAAAGATTAGCGATTATCTCAGGAGAGTTGACCAATCATCGCGTGATATCGGGTGGCATGTACAAACGAAAGACGAAGAATGAATGTCAGAAAAAGAAAGGATATAGTCAAAGGAAATAGCGGAAAGGAAATAAAGAGACCGGGAAAAATAAATTGACGATCTGGATTAGATTCACTTGAAGAAAGATAGATAGATAGAAAGATAGATAGATAGATAGATAGATAGATAGATAGTGTGAGTGAAACAAATAAAGTGTATGAGATAGAGAATGTAAGATGACGAGAATGAACTAGAGAAAAGCAAAGAGAGAGAAACAATTAGTGTGGGAGAACGAAAAGGCCAGAGACAAAAAAGAGTGTGAGAGAGAAAAAGAGAATGTGTGATTAAATGAGTTGGGGAAGAGAGGAGATAGAGAGACAGTGAAAGCTAGTGAAAGAGAAGGAATTAGTGTGAACGAGAAAGTGATAGAGAAAAAGAGAAATGAGGAAGAATGAAAACGGAGGGAGAGAGAAATAAACAATGAGAATGAAGGAAAGAAAGAGAAAAGGTCCCGAGAGAGAGAGAAAAGAATTTTGCGACAGAGAGAAGGAAAGGTAGTGAGAAAGAATAAGAATGAGAGAGTGAGTGAAAAATCAGGACAAGGAAAGAGAAGGAGAGTGAAAGATGAGAAACGGAGTGAGAGTGAAATAGGGAGGCGAAGAATAACTGGGAAAATAAAAGAAAGAGCGTGAAAGAGATTGCAAGTTGAGAGAGAGAGAGAGAGAGAGAGAGAGAGAGAGAGAGAGAGAGAGAGAAAGAGAGAGAGAGAGAGAGAGATGAAAAACAGTGCTAGATAGCGAAAACCAGTGAATGGGTGAAACAGAGAAAGAAAGAAGGTGGGAAATAGAGTGAGATAGAGATAGAGAGACTGACATTTTGTTTGTGTGTAAAGGCACATCTCGAGGAATAATATCAATTTTAAATGGAGACAATATAAGCGATTTTGTTTAATGCGGAGGACAAGACAATAGACTTCTCATAGAATGAAGGCAAAATAAGACACGAGAAACGACACTGAACCCGAAGATAGTTAAAGGAACTGGCACGCATACTGAGCTCAAATCACTCGACCAGGAGACATTAACCGCGTATGCACGACACTAATTGGGTGCCGAAAACATGAAAGAAAATTAGGATAATTAGCTAGATTCACCTAGTTCACTGGAAGGTCAAGTGCTTAACGCCTATATCAGGACATAGAAATTCAGATAACACGCAAATACAGAATGGATGTGAGAAGAATCAGTCCCCACAAGCAAAATTTAACATTCCACAAACACTATCCCTGATCAATGTTTAACTATTCATCCAACAAGTAAAGTCCATAGGTTTTAGCAAAGACCAGTCCTTCATCAAATTCTACAGAATCCCAAAGAACTGTACCAGATGACAAAAGCTCTATCACTTGAGGTTATTCAAATACAGCAAGAAGTTTTTCATAAAATTCACCCCAAATAAGCCACTGAGATACAAAGGCTCAGTGTGGGAGAGTATAAGCAAAAGAATCATATTATTAAGGAGCGAGAACAATAAAAGAACGGGAATTAGAAATACGTAAATTAACAATTTAGATTCTATTTAAATATTTGAAGATCAAAATTTACTGGGAAGCATGGACCCGGAACAGAATTCTACAAGCGATAGAAGGAAAGGTTAGCATAGAATTTTACATCCAATGTTAGATGTTACATCTAATTATTTCGGTTACATATGTCTATCTCAGCTGCAAAATGATGAGAACTTTCCACTGATCCAGTACTGCGCTTAAACTCATAAAGTATAGTTACCGTAATGTTAACTGTTCTGATGAAGTTTCCACGATGTATCGAGATTGTTAAATTAAAGAACAATATTGTCAGAAAGATCTGAACAATATACTGTTGAAATGGCTAGAAATGGCCGTGAGTTCGGTGTTAACAGTTTCTTCAATCGCACTTCTCGCATGTGGAAATCATTATCCGCTTGTTTGGGTGAAAAGTCGCGAAATATTAGCATATGTTTTGCCTATATATATATATATATATATATATATATATATATATATATATATATATATATGGTGTATTTATGAATACCAGTGCTCAATATCATATATAGAGCATATGTAAATATAAAAGTAGGCTACGTGGGCCAACAGTAGGTGGTGTTATATATATATATATATATATATATATATATATATATATATATATATATATATATATATATATATCATGTGGTATGGAATAAATTCCAATAACCAACAATTACTATTCTTAAAAAGAGTGCTTTAACCATTTTTATCTATGTATATTTTCTCGTATAAGTTATATTTTAATAAGTGGTTAGCATTCGTTTAATAACATTTTCACGCCTGAGTATTTGGGTTGTTGTATCAGATTGTTTAGGTCAATGTATGTGGATGTGTGTACATGTATTTATCGATGTCTATGTTTATAGAAAATGCATGCACATTTAATTGTGTATGTATGTATGGGTTCGTTTTTTTTTCTTTATATAAAGGGCCGTGGAGATGTTTCCTGTCTCGTCACACTTTTTGTGTGTATATATCTATATATTTCTGGGTGCTTATGTATTATAATCTGAGTGTATTTGTATTGCTTTACGCAAGAGGTTAGCACCCGACTCACACACTTGAAATTAAAATGTATACATTTTTTTCTGGAAGACCAGCCGATATTAGCATCTATTCTAACGTAATTTCAATGAAAAAAATAAATTGAATAACATATGTATTTTTTCTTTTATCCTCAGTAATTTTATAATTTTAAATTTAATAGACATTAAAATTGGTAGGTTGTTTACGTTTAATTTCATTATCAAATTTTATCATATAATTTAATACTTATTGGTTAGAATAAATTCTATTTTAGTATGAATCCAACTTTAAAGCTCTTAATAGCTATTATAACCTTACTTCGTTGTCAAGTTTTTGAATTCTCGTATACTTGTGTTTTGATTGGTCATTCTAGCTTTTGTAACAGCATTTTCCCCTTGCGAGGGATCGTTAATTAATTTGAATTTTTTAAAACTATTTATTTTACATTCAACATCGTCACTTGATAAGACAATTTAGGTGTGGAAACAAAATGGCTATTTTGTAGTGATTTTTATAACATATTTATATTATAGTCTTTAAATAAATAACTATATATATATATATATATATATATATATATATATATATATATATATATATATATATATATATATAAAACCAGTTTGTTTGTTTATACCCACGAGGAAAAAAACAAATATATATATATATATATAGTAGTATTGTAGTCTAAAACTGTTTTTGTTTGAATATATTTGAATATATATATATATATATATATATATATATTATAAATTAATTGATTTAAAATATGTTTTTCCGTTACAAAGTTCTAACTATGTTTCAAAATGGAAGCTAAAAGCCCTGAATTTAATCTTGTAATTAAAATTAACGACATTAGTACCATTTTCCTCCTGAAGCGAATTTTTCTATATATATATATATATATATATATATATATATATATATATATATATATATATATATTCAAAGACAAAACAGTCTTTTACACTACAATACTACTATATATATATATATTTGTTTTGTGTTTGAATATATATAAATATATATATATATATTCAAACACAAAAATAAGTTTTTACACTACAATACTACTTGTTATTAGTAGACAATATTCTTCGTTTTTTCCTTGTGGAGTATAGACAAACAAATTGGTTTTACTTCCCACACGTGAACAACCGACATGCAATTGCCCCTGAGGGAAAGAGTATTCTTCTAACTGTAGTCCAGTAAGTCATAGAGTCTTTTTCAGTGATCTCATCAGTTATTGCTGCAACCTGCTGCCTGGTGGCCGAACTGCACATTCAATTTTAAGGTACCGTTGGCCTTGACTTCATCCGATAATCCAATTTGCGTTATCAGCAAGAACCTCTGAATTGGTTAAAAAGTTGCAGGTTCATGACATGGGAAAAATTTACCATGATACAAAGGGCAGCTCAGTAAGCAATGTACTGAACCATGAGAGACATTAGGACTTCTCAGTTCCTTACGGGAGCTATACCACTTCTGCTATCGGGAAACATTTGCCAAACAATGCCCGATCATACGAAATGGACTAGAGCTGCTGAAGTCAGAATATATCTCAAACTCTCTGTTGACGTATCATATTTGAATGTTTTCTCTGAGAACCAACATAAGATCACAGTTATTTGGAGATTTCGCTGTCAGCTCAATACTCCTTCAACATTTTGAGACTTGGCAATGGCAACATACCTTCAGATGCCAATGGGGAGATCGCCATTAGCACAGTTTGCAATGTTGTTAGTGCTGCTGATGAGCTATAGGCCAAGGTTTTCCAAAACCTTCCACATAATTACAAAACTACAATTGGTTCGGTGACAAGGAAATATTGGCTCCACAGAGCAAAGATGTTGACATAGTCAATGGCCAACTACTGCAGTCGATCCCGGAAACAGCACATATCTACAGGTCAGTGGTTGGTTGGAAGATGTGAGCATATAAACCACTCTATATACACACATCTTCCAACCACCCGCCTTCTACAATCAAACAGATGCCAAAATCGATTAACCGCAGGGTTTTCCGACAATTCCTCCAATGAGTCCATATTTAACAAAGCTAAGAAAGACTATGAAACAGGCCTAAAAGATAGCGGATTCCCAGCAACACTCACATACTCACCACAGAACACAAAAACGGCCAACGGGAAAAGAAATATCATATGGTTCAAACCACCGTACAGCAAAAACGTAAAAACAAACGTAAGAAAACTCTTACACAAACGCTTCCCGGAATCAAGCACTCTACACAAAATATTCAACAAAAACACAGTAAAAATCAGCTACAGTTGCACTGAGAACATAGCACAAATAATAAAAATGCAGAACAGGAAAATTATCAAAAAACCACAGGAACAAATTAAATCCACGTGCAACTGCAGAATAAAGAAAGAATGTCCCTTAAACGGTAATTGTTTACAAAACAAAGTAATATACCAAGCCACGATAAAATCACCTAGATATTGAAGAAAAAGTAACTGAAGGACCCTGGAAACAAATAATAGGAGTAACTGAAGGACCCTGGAAACAAAGAAATTATGCACACAAAACATCTTTCACAAATAGTAAATATGCGAACAGCACAATGCTTTTTAAGTATATCTGGGAAATTAAAAACAAAACAGACATCACACCAAAAATAACTTGGAAAATAAGGAAAAGATCATCAACCTACAACAACCAATCAAAAACATGCAAACTTTACTTGGAGGAAAAAAACTAACTTCCCAGACCAAAATAAATTATTAAATAAAAGAACCGAACTTATCTCAAAATGCATACATGAAAACAAATTTTTACTAGGTTACTTAAAAATCGAAAACGGAAAAAATAATTAAAAATAAAAATAAAAAAATAAACAAACAAAATGACATTAAAATAAGCAAAATAAATTAACCCAAAGAAATTACCAAATCACACCTGTTAGAATAGACGAAATAGAATAAAAAATAAACAAAATCAATGAACCCAAATAAATAATAAACACATTAGCAAACCATTATGACCAAAATATTTAGATTTTAAAAATCAAAGCAAAATACGGACGAAAAAATAGCTATAACTGTTATATACCGATAAAAGGAAAAAAATACTACGTTACTTAAAAATCGAAAACCGAAAACCGAAAATATATAGTGTAAAAAATAAATAATAACAACTAAAATAAATAGACCTAAATTCATCCAAATAAATAAATAAACCAATCTCGATAAAATAACCGTTAGAAAAAACAAATAAAGATAATCAATTCAAAACAAATACATGAAGTAATAAACAAATTAAAAACTGTTCCCGCCAAAA